GGTTGGTTTGTTTCCCTTTCTTTGAAGCCAGTTCTTGGAATTGTGCAAGACGGAGCAGCTTATGTCATGCCTATAGTCTGGTCATCACGTAGCTAACTTTTCTACCTGGTGGGGTTTCAGTATCTATGAGACAGCTCACAGGATATGGTTCAGAATAAGATCTATATCCCTTGGGAAGGAACTAAAGGTCCTTGACTATGCCTAATGACTGTATTATCATTATTTGGTCTCCTTTGACTTTCTTTTGTTTGGTGTATGTAAGCCTTTTGATTAAACTTATTCTTCAGCTAAAGTTTTTCCATAGACAAAAAGCAGGCAGAAGACATGGGAGGCAAGGACCATAGGGTACTGCTGTGTTTCGATAAGATCACACAGCCGGCTGGTGGTGGACGTAAGCCCTGAGCCCAGAAGCCGGGACTTCCAGCCCAGCTTGCTTCCCACAAGTAGAGTCTCTCTTCCTGGGGTAAAGCAAGGGGCTGCGCAGGGCCGGGACCTGACTTGAAAATAGGTCTCAGATTTCTTGCAGTGACAGCACATTCAGGCAATTTTCAGTTTTGTAAAACCTTATCATAAATCCCAAGAGCTGAGTTCTTTCATAAATATAGCAGCATCATCCCCACTGCCATTCATTCAATCGAACATTTCTGTGAGTGGCAAGCTCAGCAGTCCTAAGGACACAAAACAGAACACAGCGTGTCCTCAAGGCGCTGCCCGCGTCTGTGTGTGATGGGGAGGGTGGGGGCGGGGGACTCACTGACATCTTAGATTCCAGTGCAGTGCGTTCAGTTGGGAACCGTGGTGGCAGCGTGCCCAGGGTGCCCGGGGATGGCCCCAGACTGGCAGCAGAGAAGGGTAGGTACGGCACCTGCAGCCACTGAGCCCTGGGCTGCAGTCAGGGGCTACTGGGGGTTAAACACGCGATCAGTTGCTCAGTCGTGTCCAACTATTTGCAACCCCATGGACTGTAGCTCATCAGGTTCCTCTGTCCATGGAATTCTCCAGGCAAGAATACTGGAGTGGGTTGCCATTTCCTTCTCCGAAGAGAGAAGGGAAAAATGTTGAAGGCGGTTTTAGGAAAAAGGGAACAGAGAGAGCGCAAAGGCAAAGAAAGAAGGGAGAGCCTGCACATGAGAAAAATTGCCTGTACTTGATACCACGGAGCACCGGGGGCAGAGCCGGGAGGCGGGGCGGGGGCACGGGGAACGGGATGGAAGAGTGGGCGGGGCCGGGGACTGTCACTCCAAGCTGCTGGTGCGTGGATCCGAAGTAGGTGAGATTCCCAGGCCTTCAGGCTATTCGCTCCAGGGTCAAGAAATGCCTCCTCCGGGGCGGGGCGGGGGGAGGCGGGAATGCTCAACCAGTGGATATCTTCGGAGCGAATATCAAGGATAAGCACAGGCTCAGAAGACCAGGAGCCAATTCACCACAAGGTACCTAGCATGTCAGTACGCTACTGTATCTTCATCATATGAACGAACGATGTGAAAGCATCCGTAGAGATTCCTTGCTTTGTTCCCCCACCGCCCCTTTCTCTCGTGTGCCAGACCCCAAATCTGATTAGCTGGGGTTGGAGAGAGAGGGGCCCCATCGGTTTTGTGTGTTAGATGCTTCAGACAAGCCGTCAACTGTTATCCTCACGACATCCTTGAGGTCGATGCTGCAAGTCCACAATCTCTTACCCAAAGCCAGGTGTGCTTCAGAATTCTGATTCATTTCAGATTATGGAAAGGTTGCGCCGCACAATATACATTTTATGATAGCAAGCCCCCGGTGGACCCGGGGAGCACCTTGCCATCAAACAACGTACACCCTTTCTGCCAGAAAGTGTGAGAATATACACACTACATAGGAAAACACGTAACCTCAGGTCACTTTAGGTCAGGTCTTGCTGCCAAGTGAGTTACGAAACGCTTCTGGTTTGCCGAGTGCGGAGTCTGGAATGTGGATAAGGGAGTGTGGATCTCTGAAATCCTTGTGTTTTGGATGAGGCAACTAAGGTTCCCAGAGTCAAATTCTACCTAGAGAGGCGGGATCTGGGTGAAGACACGACTTCGCCCAGCTCCAAAGCCCATGCTCTTTCCACGGCACATTCTGGGCTCCTCTGCCTGATACAAAAAGGGATAAAGGGCAGTCATTGCTGATCCTCAGCTGCCCCAGCAATCAGTCAGTTCAGTCGCTCATTCGTGTCTGACTCTTTGCGACCCCATGGATTCCAGCACGCCAGGCTTCCCTGTCCATCATCAACTCCCGGAGCTTACTCAAACTCAGGTCCATCGAGTCGGTGATGCCATTCAACCATCTATCTCATCCTCGTCATCCCCTTCTCCCACCTTCAATCTTTTCCAGCATCAGTCTTTCCCAATGAGTCAGCTCTTTGCATCAGGTGGTGGCCAAAGTACTGGAGCTTCAGCTTCAGCATCAGTCCTTCCACTGAATATTCAGGACTGATTTCCTTTAGGATTGCCCCAGCAATACCGAGACCAAGTTTGCAGTTTTCTTTCCGGAATAACAATGCCGCCATCTAGTGGACAAATCTGAGAATGGCCCCCCGATGGACACGGAGATCGAGGTTGATGGGCGTGGTGGTGACCTCTGTAAAGGCCAGCCGAATCCTCTTCCCCTCCGTAACCTTGCAAGCCCTTTCAGGGACCAGGAAGCTGCTAATAAATTACCTCTATGTAGTCCGTCCTTCAAAACAAAAGAACGATAATAAGAATGAAACTTCTTTTTCCCAACTGCCAGAAATTCTGGACCACTTTCACCATTCTCTCAGCACCTCTCAGAGCATCTCTTCTAAAGCATGACTCTCCCATGCTTCAGACTTTCGGTCGATTACAGAAGCAACTCCATAGGCATGGTTAAAACCACACTTGCTGCTGCAGCCATTCCTCACGACATACACTCTCTGCTTTCGCCGGGCCCTTATCTTACCTGTATCTTTTTTTAGGGCACCCGGAACTGCCCACGACACTGCTTTGCTTGCTTTTTTCCTCGTGACTCCTGTACATTTCAGGCTACCTGAAATGTAGTAGGAGTTTGATCACTTTTGAGAGATGAAAAATTAGAATGAGTGTATTTCATTAGCTTAAAACACCCAACTTTTTTTTTCATTAACTACATGCACATACAGTCAGAGCTGTCAGGCTCCTAAATCTCAGGGAGTTTTACATTCAAAGTCCTTCTTAACATGCAGTTTGGTAGAGGGCAGGATAGAGAGAGTTTGGGGATATTTGTGTCCCCAAAGAAGAAAGATTATTAAAGAATCTCAATATGCAGAATAATGTGTTCCTCTAAGAAAATGATTCTTGGGACCTCCATGGTGGTCCAGTGGTTAAGAATCTGTCTTCCGATGCAGAGGACACAGTTCAATCCCAGGTCGGGGAACTAAGATCCAACATGCCGTGGGCTACTGAGCGCATGCACCACATGCAACCAGAGAGACACCCCCCGCACCGCAGTGAAGATCCTGTGTTCCACAACTAAGGCCTGATGCAGCCAAAAATAAATAATAATAATAATAATAAAAGGAATGACTCTTTTCTTGAGTTTCCCACATCCTCTTTTCTTTTCTCAGACAGTGGACAGTGTCTTGAATTTCTCAAGATAAACCTTCAAATGAGTTAGTCAAGGAAACAAGAAACTATACACAAACTATGGCACTTAAGAAGTTGGGGTTAGGTTACAAAATAAACAGAAATAGTTATCTTTTCAGGTATGTGTATTATTTTTGCAATAGCTTTATTTAGATGTAATTTACATGCCATGAAGTCACCTATTTAGAGTGTACAATTCAGTGATTTTTAGTATATTTACACAGTTGTGGGCTAATTGCCACTATCAGATTGAGAACATTTTCATCATCCCCCCCAAAACCCTGTACCCTGTTATCTTCCCCCAGCTCCGTTTCATCACCACCCCAGTCCTTGGCAACCATTAACATACTTCCTGTCTCTAGGGATTTGCCCATTCTTGACCTTGCAGGATAAATGGAATCATAAAGCATGTTGTCTTTTGTATTTGTCTTCTTTCACTTTAGCATGATGTATTCAAGGTTCATCCACGTTGCACATAAAGGTTTGTGCATGTGTGCGTGCTAAGTCACTCCAGTCGTGTCTGACTCTTTGCAACCCCATGAACTGTAGCCCACTAGGCTCCTCTGTCCATGGGGATTCTCCAGGCAAGAATACTGGAGTGGGTTGCCGTCCCCTCCTCCAGGGGATCTTTCCCACCCAGGGATCAAACCCAGGTCTCTTCCATCTCCAGTGCTGGCAGGAAGTATCCCAATCTGGGGTGGGGGTGGGGGGGTTGTGCTGAGGAGGTAGAGCTTGTAATTGGAACTGGACTCCATTTAGGAAAGATAGCCAATTTCTGGGCTTCCATCATAGAAAGACCTAGAACTAGGAAAGGGCTTGGAAGCCAATCCCTACCCCTCTCCTTTGACACACACACACACACGTGGCCAGTGGGCAAAGGTGTGTTTGGGGGTGGGAGGAGGCTGACCCAGGAAGGACCCCAGGAGACCACAAACTAAGGACATTTTCTCTGCCATCTTTCACCAATTATTATTTTTCTTATTTTCCCATGAGAGGGGTAGGGGAAAAACAAGTCAGGAGGGATGTGGGTGTGTATATTTCTTGGAATCCAGAGGTTCAGAGTGGGGAGGAAATTCATCAAAAATGTCCCCAGTACAAAAGTTGGCAAAACAAATAGCTCTCACTTTTTTTTCAATCTGAACTGTGTAACAGGAGAAGTTCTTTCACAAGGGGAGAGTGTTCTTGAGCCAAGTTTAAGCCGAGGGAAAATTTTCCAGCATGTCAGGAACGAAGCTGACGGTCCATTAAGGAGAAAAAAAAAAAGCGCTGGAGGAAAGCGTAAGGCGGGGAAAGCTCCGGGATACAGACGGAGCTTTGCATTCCAGACCGGGCCGCAGTTGAGCGACCCCAGGAAGCTCCCTCTAAAGGGAGGCTGCGGAGATGCACCCTGGGCTCCCAGCCCTAGTGCACACTTCCTGTCCTGCCCCTGGACTTTCAAGCCAAAACTTACAAAACATCCTTTCCCCTGGAACCAAGTGCTTGCTTCGGGAGACCCACCCCTCCCCACGTCGGTGATCTCAGCCTGCCCTCCCCTTCCTTCCGCGGAACCTCTCCCACATGAGAGGCGCTCGGCTTCCCGAGCAGAGATGCTGGATCCGGCGTAGCAGGTGATGCCTGCGGGAGCGAAGCGACCGGGGACCACTGCCCACGAGGTAGGAACGGGGGCTCAGCGTCCTGAGCTCACTTGGCATTTATTGAGCAAAGCGAGGGCTTGACCTTTAAGCCTCGGGCTGGGGGCGTTTTCTGGTTGATGGGGGTATGCTGTGGGTGAGTGGACTCTGGGGGAGGTCAGCCTTTCTTTCCCCTCTTTCTTTCCAAATGTAACTTTAATTCTGGGGTCTCTGGAAGCACGCCGTTGTTTGCCTGGTGTGGCAAATGCTAGAGCAGAATTCTGGGGATTCCCTGATTTCTATTCTCTTTTGCTTTCTTTTCTTGGAGAGAGGGGGCATGGGGAGGGGAGTCCTGGAATATCAGGGAAGGTTCATAAAGACCTTCGCCTCTGAATAGATTCAGAGAGAAAGGACCGCGTGGATGCACAAGGAAAAGGCATTTTTTACTTGATGAACTGGGGTCCGGCTGTTTCCCAGGACCTGGGTCGTGTGTCCTCCTGGCCCCTGATGCCCCCCTCCCACCCACTCCATCCCCCCACCCACCTGCTGTCTTGAGGACACACACCTTGAGCTGTTTCTCAGCATAGGGGTATGGCACACGGCCCCAGTGCCATGTGTTAATGGACAGAACCCAGTTGTCCCTGGAGACTTAGATGTCTGTCTGTGGTAGAGCTAACTGGTCTACCGGGAAGGCAGCATGTGGCTTGTTAAGGACATGCCCCAGCTGGTGGCCGAGAGGCTGGCCCTGGCAGCACATGCTGACATTGGACTGACACAGTGAGCTCAGCAGGGCTTCTGCACAAGGAATGCTCAGAATTTTATGAAGCAATAATAAGTGGAGCATTTCAAATGTCCTTTCTCTGAACTCCTATAGCCTTTACTTCTCTGCAGGACACATTTGGTTCCTTATCGACGCACTGCCTTGCACTGTTTTCTGGGCTTCCTTGATAGCTCAGTTGGTAAAGACTCTGCCTGCAATGCAGGAAACCCTGGGTCAGGAAGATCCGCTGGGGAAGGGATAGGCTACCCACTCCAGTATTCTAACCAACCAAATAAATGAGAGAGTGGATTGGACAAATGAGTCATAACCTATTATTTGGTGATCCCCAGACAGGTACTAACACTTGTTGAGCACTGGCTATGTGCCAGGCACCATTCTGAAGGTGGCAGTTATCATTATCATCCCCATTTTACAGATGAGGAAACTGAGGCTGGAGATAATGACTAGTAAGTGCAGAGAGGGAATCTATACTGAGTCCAGGCCGCCATCCTCTGAAACCAAGATGGGGTTTGATTCTGGGTTCCTGCATCGTCTAGCTGGGTGACTTCAGACACGTCAAATGTCTTCAGCCTCAGTTTCCTCATCTGCAAAATGAGTCAATAATAACCTCACCTGACAGAAGTGTTGTGAGAGTTAAGTTAATTTTAGAAATTATTTTACTGAAGCAGGTGAACGATGCAGGCATGCTCCACCCAGCCCCTATCTACCATGTGCAGTATAAACATGAAGGAAACTTTTGCAACTGAAAAGCCTCAGGGTTCTGTAGAAGGTAGCAACAGTGCCTTGTTAGGATTTGAACTTTAAACAAGGAACCCTGGAGTTCACTTACCAGCCAGTGCAAACCTGTGGCCACCAGCTCACTAGACTCTAAGTTCACTAAGAGCAAAGTTCATATCGTATACAGGTTCTGCGTTCAACCAACCTCAGAAAGCCATCTCCAAAAAAATTCCAGAAAGTTCCCCAAAGTAAAACTTGAATTTTCAGGTGATTATTTGCGTAGCATTTAGATCATATTTGCATTGAGATTGTATTTACATTTAGATTGTATTTACATTCTTGTATTAGGTTTTAGAGATGAATTAAAGTATAAGGGAGGATGTATGTAGGTTATATGCAAGTACTGTTCCATTTTATGGGCTTCCGAGGTGACACTAGTGGTAAAGAACCTCCCTGCCACTGCTAGAGATATAAAAGACAAGGGTTCGATCCCTGGGTAGGGAAGATCCCCTGGGGGAGAGCATGGCAACCCACTCCAGTAGTCTTGTCTGGGGAATCCCATGGACAGAAGAGCCTGGTAGGCTACAATCCATAGGGTTGCAAAGAGTCAGACACAACTGAAGCGACTGAGCACGCATGCCCTTTTATGAAAAGGACTTGAGCATGGGTGGTTTTTAGTACCTTCAAGTATCTTGGAACCAGTCCTTGGGGGCGGGGGGCGGGGGAGCCAAGGGATGACTATGCATCTGTTTCTCTTGGAATATGTTTCTCAAGCTGTGGTCTAAAGACTTTCGGTGCCCTTTCGAAGGGACACAGAGTCCCTTTGGGGAGGAGTTCAACAAGTGGATGCTCCAGGAGCCTCCTCTTCCCTCTCCCGACAAAGCAGCTCCGTCTTCACCTGACTGTGTGTTAAGGGGCCAAGTGGAAAGCAAGTTTTGAAATCAATATTCAGAACTGCTAACCTGGGACAGGTAATGTCATGTCTAGGGAGAAAATGACTGCTTACAGGATGGGGTTGATTTACAGAGGGGTTTCCAGCTTGGTCCTGTCTGTGTTCTCACTTGCTTCTCTGCATCACCTTCTATTTAACGACCATCTCCCACCCTGGGGAACTCACAGGTGTCGTGTGCCAGGTAGGCTCAGGGGTGACCCTTCCGTCTCAGGCAGCTGGTCCTCAGGTTCAGGGATGGATAATGGACAGGGCCCCAGAGAGCGTCTATGACAACCTGGGCTCTCTCTGAGTCTTCTCGGGATGTGCCCTTCTCAGTTCTACTCAGTGATGGACTGTACGATCAATACTCATAATAGCTGCTATTGATCTCCCTTAATGATGGACAACTTCCTTATTGAACGCGGTGCTGTGCTGAGCGCAGATATGCTCACACAATCCCCACAGAAGCCCTGGAAGGTGGTTTCTGCCTGGTCCCCTGCTCTGCTGGTGAGCACGTAAAGGTGAAGGTGTGGTGTGACTTGACTAAGGGCGCCCAGCCAGTTAATGCTGAGGTTGGGCTTGGAGCCCCTCCCCCAAGTCTGAGCCACCCTTCCTTGAATATTTTTGCAGCCCCCTTTGACAGAGGTAAGAAGGACATTGTTGTTAGTTGGGTGTTTCTTTCGTGTTTCTGGTAAGGGATGCCCCCTGAGAATAGGCTGGGAGAAACGGGGCTAGGACAGAACATTCAACGGAGGAAGGGTGCTGCTGTGAACACGGAGAGTTGGGATTCTTGTGCAAACTGTGTCCCTGGGAAACGTCACCTCTCTTAGGAGAGGGGATACGGTTCAGTGGGCAAGAGCCAACTCTGTAGCCAGACTCGATGGCCTCAAATCCCTGCTCTGCCCCATATCAGCTAGATCCTCTTGTGCAAATTTCCAAAATAATATTTTGTGTAGAGAGATGATAATAATAGTACTTATATTATAACAACGTTATAAGAGAATGACTTAGTCCACATAAAGCATTTAAAATTGTGTCTGGCACATAGTAAGGACTCAATAAATATGTTACTATGGAGACTTCCCTGGTGGATCAGTGGTTAAGACTTCGCCTTCCAATGTGGGTTTGATCCCTGGTCAGGCAGCTAAGACCCCTCATGCCTCATGGCCAAAAAACCAAAACATGAACGGAAGCAATATTGTAACAGATTCGATAAAGACATTAAAAATGGTCCACATCAAGAAAATCTTTAAAAAAATATATGTTATTATGTGTAGGAGAGTTTGGATTAAGCTTAGGTGGTTGGGTGGCAGGCTGGAAATAAGTAGCTAGTATTTGAGATTGAAAAAACACCAACAATTTCAACTGTGAGCTGGGGTTGGGGATGGGGTGTTTACCCAGACCCAGGGTCCCTGAGAGACAGCTTATAACCTTTGAGAAAAAGCTTAAATGTTCTCTTGGAAGTTTAATAAAACTGGAATAACTTGTCTTCAGAATTGGACTTGCCAAATTGGATTCTTTGATTAAATGAAGTTTACCTTATTTATCTTTGGAGTTATGGAAATCAGTCTCACCTCTGACCTATTGTTATTTCTGGAAAAAAAAAAAAAAAAGAACCAAAAAAACAACTTGTTTGTAAATGCCATTGGCTGAACCACTTGTACTTTTGGAAGGATGACTTTAAGATTTCAAGCTGAGATATAAAATTTAAGAGCTAAATATAGCTGATAAAAGAAAAAAAAACAAACCCAGGAAGGGATCATGACTTACAAAAGAATTTTGTGGCTTTCTCAGAGGACAAATCTGTGAGCGCCGCCTAAGTCTAGACTAAGTTTGCAATGGTTTTGAGAGTAGCATGCACCCGTTTGCCTACCCTTACTGGAATTAAAGTAGGCAGGAAATAAACTGGGGGACTGCCATCTATTGAGCACTTACTGCGAGTCATGCTTTGTGCTAAGTGCTTCATACACAGCGTCTCATGTTTAATCCCTACATCTCCCTACCAGGGGAGAACAGCTGATCCTTAAGCAACACAGGTTTGAAAGTCGCGCAATCGTGTCTGACTCTTTGCAACTCCATGGGCTGTAGTCCATGGGATTCTCCAGGCCAGATTACTGGAGTGGGTAGCCTGTCCCTTCTCCAGGGGATCTTTCCGACCCTGGAATCGAACCGGGGTCTCCTGCACTGCAGGTGGATTCTTTACCAACTGAACCACTAGGGAAGCATATGAGGGTTTTTTTCAGCAAATACGCACAGTTACTACCCTACCTGGGGTTGGTTGAACCCACGGATTCGGAATGTTGGATATGGAGGGTTGACTCTGTGGAGGGTGGTGGTCCTCTGAACCCCCACCACGGTGTTCAAGGGTCAACAGTACTACAACTATCCCCAGTTTACAAATGAAGATAATGAGGCTTGGAGAAGGAAATAATGTGCACAGAAGCACACAGCTGCTAAGCGCTGGGTGGGAGTTCTAACTCGGGATATCTGGGTATGGGTGTGAGGGGTTAACTCTGCTTCCCTGGTGTCTCAGACTGTAAAAAAGCTGCCTGCAATGTGGGTGACCTGGGTTCCATCCCTGGGTTGGAAAGATCCCCTGGAGAAGGGAATGGC